GGAGGAAGGGGGGAGGGGTCGGCGAGGGGGGAACAGCGCACATTGAGTGTAATTGAAATAGATATTCGCGGATGTTGCTCGAACGATCCTCTCTCGACGAACCGCGCATCTCTAGAACGCGACGCGAGATTTTTATCGGGCGGATCACCGTCTTCAATGAGGATTCGTTGTTAACTACGCATTACATCGTGATCATTCGTGTTTCACGACGATAATTGTAGCTCCATGACGCGTTTACGTAAGGATCAATACGATTTTTCTTTCGCCGCGCGAATCACCCGATGAATCGCTCGAACTTTAATCGCTATTGTTCGATCGCCGGTCAATCTGTTTTTTTCTTTTTTTTTTTTCCTCGGACGCAATTATTTCCCGTCGAAGAAACAACAATCAAATCCTAACGATCGCCTGTCGTTTCGCAGAATGATTGCATGATCGGATCGAGTTTGGAGTCGAGCGTAGCATCGTAAGTTGAAGGACAAGAGCTTTGCAAATTGAATATTATCTATGAAAACTTCCCAATCAGTCTTGGTCAGTTTAGGAAAGGAAAATAAGTTCCTAGCTTAGAGAAATTTTTTGATCAAAATTCGAAGCAGACAGAGGAGATTGTTATTGATGTTTGTAATATTAATTTCCGGGTAGTAGTAAAAGTAAAGTGGAATTGAAATTATTACTTTCGCGTTGCAAATAGTTAAGGGATATAAGTGAAGCTGGTGCGCAATGTTACCAACCCCGCATTGAAATCACCGCGCACCTTCTTGTGCGGGCGTTGAAGTCTCTTCCTTGTTTCGCGCCGCGCACACTACAAATTGTACTAAAATTATTCCCAACATTAGGTAAAAAATCCTCGAAGACTGAAATTGTGTTACACGGAGTTCTTAATAACGTGACGTCATTTATCTGACCGATATTCCGGAAAATGTGATAAAACGAAGCTTTATAAAAATTCGTACGTAAAATCGAAGTAATGCATCACGTGGGAGTCTATTATGGTATCTCCTATGAAATCGCATATAATTTATAATGTCTTATCAAAAAATAGAAAAAAGAAGTTGGATCGTTCGATTCCATCGGTATCATAAGTTATATAATTGGCATTCGTAACTAAAAATCCACGCGTACAGCCAGGAAAATGATGTCAACTAATAAACTATCGCGTACAAGGCGGTGATACTTTCTTCGATTATATTTACGGGAGGAGAATGACTGTCATAGTTAGGCTGATGGGCACGCGATTTTATGGCGAACGCGCTTTTCCGCACGTGCTCTGCGCTCCGAGCACGGGGAAATCACGTCGTCGAACGAACGGCTCGTTAAATATAGATGCTTATCTCTCGATACTCGCAGGAGTCCCGGGAAAAGGTAGTCTGGCTAGGCTGGTTTATGGACCGTCGATTTTGTTACAAAGATTAGTTCTCGCCAGATGGAAAGTTCATAACTTTAAAACTCGTACGAGCGAGCATTGAATCTTCGATTGCCGGAATTATCGATTTAGAGAATGCAGAGAATGCAGAATGGTGAAAATTGGCTCCGAGAATGCGGCAGAGAGGAAAGTTTTGTGCGAATTTCGAAAAAAATATTGCGCAACTCGAGAGCGTTAAAAAGCGGATCAAGAATCATCTTTTGGGAGACATTTTCGTTTTCTCGGAGAATCGCAAAATCCATAGTTGGGGAGAAAAGAAGTATCACATCGAGAGGTGAATGATAAATACATGCAAAAGATCGCAAGCTCCCTCTCTGCTTAAACGTAACGTAAGATGAGAACAGAATTGCGCAGAATTTAGAGGAGAGGAAGAAGAATCAGAGAACGTAACTGAAAGAACAGGAGGAGACAGTAAGAAGAATGAGAATCCCTCGAATCGGAAGGAAAATGTAGGAAGAAAAAAAGAAAGGGAATTGCTGCACAAAAAATCTCGACAAGTAGAAGAAGAAAGAACGAGGAACACAACGAAGAATAAAAAGGGACGCTGAAAGGAAGAAGAAGAGGAGGCTGTGAAGAAGCATCAGAGGAAGAGGAGGACAAAGAAGAAGAAGAAGAAGAAGAAGAAGAAGGAGAAGAAGAAGAAGAAGAAGAAGAAGAAGAAGAGTATCGAGAAGGAGAAGGTGCAGTCGTGTGGTGGGAGGAGAGAGAACGAGAGAAGGCCGCGGTAGTCTTTCTCGGTCGACTAGGTAAGATAAGGACGAGGCGGACAAACGGACTGACGAAGGTGGCCAAGGTAGGGGATATTCAGTCTCGCGGCCACGTGCTACACGAGCGCACGCCCCGAGCCGGCCGGTGGTCCAGCCACGACTCCGTCCTCTTCTTCTTCGTCCCGTTTTGTCCCATGCTTCCTCCTTCTTCCCTCCTTCCATTTTTCTTTTCGTACACCTCCGTATGCTTCTCTCTCTCTCTCTCTCTCTCTCTCTCTCTCTTTCCTCGCCTCGTTTCCATTTTATTCTCACTTCTCTCTCCGTCTCGCCAGAGTTTTCCTCTCGTCTCGTTTTAGTCGACTTTTTCTCGCGTCACCGTCGCTTCCAAGTGTGTACCGCGTCCGAGAGTCTCGTGTGAGTGTCGCCGGCCAGCGGATTCCCAGTGGACGCGGCTCGAGCGCGCCTCGCGGCCCTGGCTAATCGCGGGAACGCTCGAGCTACCAGCGCCTCGTCAACACCTCTTCGACACCTCCGACAGTCGCAATTCTGCCCGTCCTTGTTACTTCCCTCCGCGAGTTCCGACAGATGTACTGAAGTTTGGTGAACGCGAGTGTGTGTACTCGATACGAGGATACGTGGCTCCGATGGCAGTACGGATGAAGATGATCGGAGCGGTACGGTGTCGTGCGAACAGACACACGGCCAACCGTTAATTTCGTGCTGTAAGACGTGCTGTTGGAAGAACAAAGTCAAAGTGACAGGAGAACACATCACACGCCAGTGGAACTCTTCGCTCGTTGTCTCGTTAGCCGATGGTACGTGCAATCAACCCGTCGATGATCGTGAACGAAAGTTTTTCGTCGTCGATCCGGCTCGCGAAGGATTTGAGCGGGAAGAATATGTGGCCGAATATCGAGTACTGGTCGATATTCGGCGATCTGTGGTGATTGTGATCGCTTCGAGACGTGGAGTTGTGCGGCGAGAGGCACGTCTGACCACCAACGGCAGATTCTACTTGTCGCGCGAACCGAGTCTTGACGCGTGTGTGTCCAAAAAAACATCGATGTTCTGCCCCAGCTGTGTACGAACTGGTGAACTTTGAGAATAGTGCTGTCTTCTACGCGAGTTTATTCCTCTATAAGAATTAAATTTCCTCGCGTCTATCTACGTTTGTTCTCGTTCATAGCGAGTCACAGTAAGTTGAATGATATCAAATTTGATCATCGAATGAAATAACTTGCCTAGCTTGCCGTGCAGTCTGCTCGTGTAGA